AAGCGCTTTTTTTTATATGACAGACTAGCCCCTCCTTAAGGGTAAAAAAAACAGCAACTGATTTTATCTTCAGTCATTTTGGGGGATTTTGATGTAGCCAATTAGCAGGTGAAAAACCAATGGAAGACGTATAAAGGAAATAGAAACTAAAATAGATTTAAAGGAAAAGTCTGGTCAGCAAGGAATGATCAATGGATAACTATCTATACCTAAAAATAATACATTCACAGTGAAATAATGAATTTAGCATTAATCAGTAAAAAAATAAAAGTAATAATTATCGTTGCAAACTTTGAGTCTGGGAGCGGCCATTTTTGCCCAAAAATAGAATCACCCCTAAGTCCTGCCATCTTCCGGCAGTGACATCACGGTGCGGTAGAGTCCTGCAACGGGTCGGGTACCCGCGGGTCCTCGACGGTTAACCCGCTAAAATGCTTTTTTGCGGGTGAAAAATACATAAATAAAAATAAACGGCTCGGGGGTCGGGCGGATATTTTTTTAGTGCGGGCGGGTAGTTGGAAATGTTATATTAATCAGGCACTGGGGTCACCCTTGTTGTAGCTTAAAGCCCTGCCGGCGGCAGTGTGGGCTTCCCTCCAAAAAGGCCACAGTCAGTGCATACATGTCTGCTGCAGTGTTAATGGCGCTGTTCTGCAGCGCAGCGTACTATAGCCTATTACTTGATGTGTTAACGGGTCGGGTTGCGGGTTAAATATCAACGGGTTGGGTCGGGTTCGGATTTGAATTGAAGATATCCGCGGGTGACGGGTCGGGTTCGGTAGTCATCCTAACTGGTTCAGGCGGGTGCGGGTTGGTAAAACTCGACCCGTGCAGGACTCTACGGTGCGGTAAGCCTAGCGCCATTCTCCCCGCTTTATGAGCAAAATCAAAGGGAACTACTAGACACATCTGCAATCAACAACAATTATTTCACCATTGAAATTCACCAGAGCTATAGTTAAACTGACAATACCCATGTAATATACTGAGTAAAAGTGGGGAAAAAAAATGTATTTCACCTTTACGAATCATGACGGGTTCATCGTTGGATTGCCAAATTGAAGAGAGAGGATTTGCCATCGAACTTCTGGCCAGAGAAAAAACACGTAATATGTAGCCAACATTTTGGAGAAGAATGTTTTCAAGATGACTTGGAAAATAGCGCGTTGTGAAAAACACCAGATACAGCACTGGGACTTGATCAACAGCCGATACCGCACCGTGACGTCACAAACCAGTAGGTGGCAGTAGTGTTCTTTGACAAACATGGATGCCTCCAGTAAATCCCATTCTAATGAAAATTACTCCTAATTAAAAACACTCGTCATTTATGCTGATGAAGATTCTCAGTCATCCAGGTCAAAGTCATTTTGTAAAAGTTTAAAAACGATCCACTGGACTTGGTTTCCAAGGTTTGAAGATGTTTCGCTTCCCCTCCAGGAAGCTTTCTCAATTCAAATGTCTGACATTTTAATTGATCATTTATCATCATTTATTGAACATTATGTTATAATTTTATATTTAAATTACTTTCAGAAATTTGACCAAACTTTTCCCTTAAAATGTAAACATTGATGGGAGGATTAAAATAAATTCTATTGTAATTTATGTAACTCTCGCTCTATCTCTTTATCATGTGCTTAATAACTTGTCTCTCTGTCCTTGTAAGGACTTTCCATCGACTTTCATTTATTTCTATAGCCTTAGCCTTAAACCAGCATTGTGGGTTCATACCTAACTTAATCCCCAACCTAAATTAATTCACCCCTTAGTCCTAAATGTGACCTCTGACCCTAAAACAGCAATTCCCCTCATGGGGTCCAGGCGTGCTGTTTTTCAAATGCAAGAACACAAACACAAACACACCTTTGTACTGTATTTCTATCCTTATCAGGATTTACATTTACTTACATTCATTTCAGTTATTGTTTTTAAGTCCAAACTGGACATTTCACCTAACCTTGACAATTATCACTATATTCCAAGTTCTAATCTCAACAACAATAATTCCTCCATAACTCTGTGTACTGTGTATACACACAAGGTTATTTGAAGGCTTGGAAAGCAATCTTTAAAACCTCATGTTCATTCTAGTGTATCGCACTTTAAAGCTAGCAACTGAGGCTAAGGAGCTAAACCCATTAAAAATAACTGTTTTTCACAGCTCTACTTTGTATGTGAGAAGTGAAGCTGATGAGAATCCTTCAGCTAACTCCAGATTTGGGACCATGGAGGTTTGATGTGGGAGCAAACTCTTCCTGGTCTTACGTATGTCCATGGTCCCTCTTTGTAAAGAGGTCTATCTGAAGATCTGAAATTCAGTTGGCTGAGGAGCATCCAGATTGAGACCACCAACCAGGCTATGAAACAGTTGATACCCTGCAGCTGTTAGACTATTTAACTTGAGACCTACTAATTCAGCTTAATCTCTTTCTCTTCTTCTTTTTTGTAAACGTTAAGCTTCTTGGACTGGGGCCTGAGTCTGAATCTTGTACGAGAAACAGGCAAATATGCAATTTTATGACAATGAATTTTTAAATCCTTAAGTTGAATAACCATAAACTATCACAAATAAAAAAAATGCATTTAAAGATATTGGTATTTCGAAGAGTATTTATGCACACAACACATCACTAACAAAAAGGTCTAATGTTAAAAACAGGTTTTTCATAGTGTGATGTTAACTGAACATCCCATTGTCTGTGTTACTGAGAAACTTTCAAAATGTGAAGAAAAAAACTGCAAGTGCTAACAAAAATGAAAAAGTACTAATACCTGCTTTAAGCATTTCAAAAGCATGTAAGCATGCCAAAAAACATTAGCTAAGAAGACAGTCTTATAGATGGTTAAATTAATCCTATGTGATCTACTTTTAGAGCTGTGCTTGTTATTTCTACCATAACCTGCAAAAAATACAAACAAAGCTGCTTGTTCTGCATTAACTCCTGTGGCTTTAGGGCTCTCTTTGAGTTACAGTTCCCAACCTGTTTTAGCTGGGGCCCTGAAAAAATGAATTATAAACAGCAAAAAACAACTAAATTCTCCATCAAAATCATAAACCTATGACCTTTAAAGTGTATTTTTCTTAAGTTTTACCATTTATTTTACTGTGTACCAGATTTCAACAGTTCTATCAATACATTCAAGATACCAAACCTATAAAAAATATTTCATTCAATTCATTTTTATTTCTATTCCATTCATCTAAATGCTGCTTTTTAGGCCTTGTTGGAAACATTGCAGTTTTATTCTAAGTACTTTAATATTTATTAAATAGTTTTTTATGTAGTAGCGCATGTTTAGATCCAACTTAGGTAAGCAAGCCCCAAGCTTTAGTCTTCTGGTGCTCTCAAACTGTCCTCAAGTTTGTTCATCTCATCATGTGTCCACCAGTTGCCCCTTGGCTTCGGCAATAGGCCTGTAACGGATAGGATGGATAGGGCCTCTGGATAAGACAATGTGGATATGAAAATGAAGCAACTGAGCGAATTTTATTGTTAAATATATTTTGTTCTCTCATCTGTGATCTGCTGGAACAGCTGATCCAAAACCAAACAATACCCTCCCTGTTGAGCAAGTCAATTTTAAAATCTGTTTGTAACTGTTCAGACCTGTTACATGTAAGCAGCCAGGTCCCTGCAGTCTTTGCATGAAAAAAGTAAGAAGTGAAAAGAGTAGAATTTAAAGTAGTGATACCACTTTAGCTGTATTATATTAAGCCATGTTACAGCCACAATATTTATATTATACACCAGAACAGAGAAGACAGTTTTCAGTTGAAAAAAGGAAAGAAAAATATATTGTGTATATAATATGCATATAATGTATTCTCCCCCTATACTCTGATTTCTCTTAAAGTGATTTACAAACAAATCACTTATCTAATTGGTAAACACATGTCTGAATCTTAATCAGACTATGAATGCAGCTGTTCTGGGAAGGCCTCAGTGAACTAACAGCATCGTGAAGATCAAGGAACACAGAAGGCAAGTCAGAGAGATGCTCAACGAATAAAACATGCAAATAAAAGTGGTCAGATTGGACCAAATATATTAGGCTTCAACATGGATGCAACATGCAAGGAAAAAATATCAACACTAAGCTTCACTCTGACCTCACCATGTCCACAGAGAAACTGGCTGTGGCAGCATAGCGCCCTTTCTTCTGCAGAAACATGGAGTGATCAGAGCTCTTAGAGAGATGAAACATATTTGATAACAAACTGCAATCGAATCAGTGCTTCACATGATATATTCAGTCAAAATCCAGACCTGAATTCAAAACAATATTTCATTTCAATTCAGTTTATTTCTATAGCGCCAATTCACAACACATGTCATCTCAAGGCACTTTACAGCTCACCAGATCATCCAGTCAGATTGATTCAAAGTTTTCTACTAAGAAAAACCAGTTGATTGCATTGACAGGAAGGCAATCCCTCACACTAAGTATGCCTGTAGCGACAGTGGAGAGGAAACACTCCTTTTCAACAGGAAGAAGAAGTGGGAGCAGCCATCTGCTGAGGCCGACTGCAAGGAGACAGAAGCAGAGATACAGAAAGAAGCAGAGATACAATAGGCAACTGTAAAAGGTGGCCTTGTCCAGGAAACACACAGCCAGGCAGACTAGCTCCCATGTTTGCATATATTTGAAATATTAGACAATGCCCAGGTAATCTGTCTGAAACTATGAGCCAACAATTCAAGTCTACATCTGCAAAAAAGGTAGCTAAAAAAGGGGGAAAACAATAATATGAATAAACAGTTATGACTCATTTGGGAAAATATACATTTCTCTTCCCCCAGTAGTCCTAATATTATTTTAGTTTTAAAATTCGATATAAAATTGTAATAATGCCTTTATTACAAGGTATTTAATAACAAAATATGTAGTTTAATCATTTATATAGATAAGTAAGAAATCACGGCCAGCAGTCAAGTTTACAAAAGCACCCAGAGCCCGGTCCACCTTAAAAAGAACAGACTGCACACATTTCCTGAAAACGCCCCGTGTGCGTCTGCATGCGTGTGAAAACACAAGAGAAACAAACTCAAGCGACTCCGAGTTGTAATAATAAGGCGGCGTTGTTTATCCAAAGAGAAGGGGTTGGACATAATCTGAATTCAGAGCCAAACTTTTCTTTACTTCCATTTCCTCCTCTACAAACTTCCAGGAGTGTAAAGACGGAGCGCAGCGCCGAGCGACCAAGGTCAGGCTGAGCGGCGCAGCTGTCAGAGAGGAGTTTATTCCGAGCTGTGGGAGAGTGGACGGTCTGAACGGACGGAAAGCTGGCGCAAAACTGAGCTGAACGGAGCGGCAACATGTTTGACAATCCGGGGACGTATGCCAACAAGAAGAGGAAGAAGCCCGTCCTGAAACAGTAAGCGCTCCGTCTCCTCTGGCTTCACGCGCCTCCTTATGTCGCTGCTGCGTAAAGTGCGTGAAAGTCACCAAACGTTGAATTAGAATTTAACTCGTTTAATTAGCATAGAATACAACAACTACTAAACTTCAGTGCCCTCAATTAAGTATGTCAGGCTGATTAGTTCCACGTTAAATGTTATAGGTTCATGTTGTACTTTGAAAATAATGATGGCTTCCAGCTGTCAGCATTTATTTATTATCACACGATGAAAAAAGTTCAAATTGTCAGAATAACTCAAGAAAAATGAGAGGAGGAAAGTTGGTGAACATGATATAAATCTACTGTACTGTGAGACCACCTTAAAACTGTGTCTACTGGGATCTGGCATGGACATCCAGCCCTCGCGCATTAATCACAATCAAGTTTGAGAGTCGGCTGCTGCTCGCACGCGATGTTCCATGGAGGCGGGGGCTCGCGGCCTCTCTCTGGGTTTCTGTAATGTGATCCAGCCTGGCGCAGCGCGCGGAGCTCCGGGACCAGCAGCAGCAGGCTGTGAGGCTCCTCTCTGCCTCTCATGGTGGGGCCTCTCCGCCCTCATGGTCCCTGCAGGCCGCTGCAGCACCCAGGCATGGCCTTCAAATGCCTCCTCACTTGTTGCTCTGCAGTGCCACCTGTTGACTAGCTGGCTTTAGGAAAACAGTCCAACATAGAGGTCATATTAATCTTTAAAAAGACCAAAATGTTCGAAAAAGAGATGACTGTTGGTACAATCAGCACAGAAAATCATGGGTTTGGGAGGATGCATCTATAAAACATACAATGATTCATAGTTACTTTTACCTCAGTTATTAGATGCATGATGCTTTATATTACTAGAAACCATTTAATCTCCTGATATGTAGCACAACAGGATCAACATGAGTGACTGTTGTGTGAGTTTCAGTCCAAATGAGCAGTGAGCAATGATTCATTTCATCTCCTGTAATTAAACAAAATGTTTTCCTTGTTGTTGTCCATCCATAATACATCTTTCAGACTTTCTAATGACAAACAAAAACAAAATAAAATAAAAAATGACCGGAGCTCACTGGGGGCCCTGGGGGCCCTGGCTCCTCTTCACTACACTGTGCTGTTCTGGACTTTCTAGCTAACTTTTCTGGTCCTAAAAGTAGGTAAATCTAAAAAAACTCACACGGATAGAAAAAAAAAACAATTAGAAGAATTTTATTGATACAATTACTTTATTATTTGGCACTCAGACCTTGGAGGGAAATATTAGCACCGAATATTGTTTGATATGCATGAACAGGAGTAAAGACCAGTGATGTTTCCCCTCAGGCATGAAACTGGTGGAGGAGTGGAGATAGATGAAGTAGGTCAGTCCATGAGACGCTATGCTGAGCTGTATGGAGCGATCCAGTGGACTGAGTGAGCTGATACTAGAGCTTCATTCATAGACCTGGAAGATGCAAGACCAGATTGGATAAGACAGGTTGCAAGAACCTGTCTGTGATGAGCAAGCATGAAGAGACAGTGGAGAGGAAAACTTCAGTTTAGGAAAAAACTTTTGGCAGAACCAGGCTCAACATGGCGGTCTTCTGCCGGACCGGTTGAGATGAGACAGGGAACGCAGTAAGAGTCCAGGAGTAATGACACTCTGATGAAGCTTTAGCTACGATGGTGGAGAAATGGATGCAGGTGGGTTGATTCAGGGTCATCTGAATGAAAGTCAGACGTAGCGCAACCACTGCCTGCGCTTTGGGTAGCAGACTGAGGATTAAAGCTGTTTTCCCTGTGTCAGAGGCAGATGAGGGTAAGCAATCACTTTATTCAGTTGAAATTCCACCTAGGTTCCATTTGTCTGAGTTAAGTTTTATTTTATTTATTTTTTTACCAACCAAGCAGCAAGTCTCAAGCACCTTGTGGACGTTTCATACCAGCTCTGACAGCTGATTGAAATAATCACATATAATCCACTTTTAATCTACAGTACTGAAATGTGGTTATATAACCTCAGTAAATAATAGCTAAAGGCAGCTCACTGATAGTGTGTTCTTTTTTTGTTTGATCAGGGGTTGACTCCTCTTGTATTTCATAGCAGTTGACTGAAAGGCCGTAACAGGGAAAAGAAACACTATTCATTGAAAAGACTAGCCTATTAAAATTTGATTTGTCTGACAGTAAAGATACTGTTAACAGCTTCTATATTTGTAGATATTCTGGGAAGATCTGTTAAGATGTCCTCAGGATCTTTAAAGAAGCAGCTGTCGCTGAATATCAACCTGGAAGAGTTTTGATGACATTTCCAAACTGTTGGATGCCATTATTTAGACACTGAGATCAATCCAATAATTGGAACTTGGATTATCTCCTGTTATTTATCAGCAAATGAACTTTAGCCTCAGATTCCTCGATAGAGGTTATACTCTGGAAGTGAGTCAAAATCCCACATGAAGCTAGTTTTTTGGCAATTGAAAGCATGAGTTTATATGATGTAAACATATTAAGCCGCATACCTGTCTATGTCTCTGCATTATGGGCAGTGGAGGCTAACAAAAGAAGCCAAACGACCCCCATTCCAAGGGATGGACCCGTCCGTCTGTTTCAATTTGCATGTTTTCTAAAGAAAAACGAGGCTTTGTTAGAGTAGTGTACAAAACCTTGTACTCAACACAATTTCTGACGTTTTGAATTAAAAAAGTTTGTTTAATTGCTTTTTTTTAAACTTTTTTGGAATGAGTATGACCTGAATGACTGAGAATCTTCACCAGCATATGTCTCCTACAACCTGAGATGAAGTCACGTTTGAAAAACTCAGTGGATTTTTTTCCACTGTTCATCCGTAGCTTTCTTCTTGTTTGATTCAGATTCAGCTCAGATTTCTGCCTGCTGCAGCAGAACCTGCATATGCTTGAGCCCACGCGGTTTATAAAGATCAAATGTTTGTGTTTCTTGCGTCGAGGTGAGCCTCCATCCTCAGCCTTACTGCTCAGTCAGCACATCATCTGTGGAAAGAGAGGCATCCTCTTTCTTTTCAGCTTGGATTCAGATTCTTTACTGAACTGATCCTGAGTCTGGGCAAAGTGGTGAACCACAACCCATCATTGCTTAGAAAGACTACGCCTTCTGTGGAGGCTCTTTTTTCCCGCAGGAGACTAAGTCCTTCGCCAGTTTTGAATGATTGCTTTGATGGGTCGTTTCAATTAACAGATGAACTTCCTGGAACCGGGTCTGTGTAGCTATTAGTTTGGAAGCTAAACGCATCCTGGTAATTCAACACACAGCTATACCACCAGTTTAAAGATGTGTTTACCTCATAGAGGGGCAGAGGGCAGTAACCTCAGCCCAAGGAAAGATTTGCATAGTTCCTGTATGTTGTACTGTCCTCAGACAGATCTGTCTTTTCCGACTGTACATTCCAAAATAAAGAGGTGCCCTGTATGTAGACGTCTGTGTTTCTGGAGCTTTTTGGGCTGCCAGCTGCGCTCTGTTGCATAAAGGCGCTATTGAGTCAAACCAAGGAGTGCCGTGGCATTCCCTGGCAGAGTTGCCTCTTCACATCGGCTTTTAATACCAGAATGCTTGCTGTGCCTTTTGGCCATTCCTTTTACCATCTACCCTGTTAACTAAATGATTCCGTGTGGTGCCTACTCGGTTTTAAAATAAAATAAAAGCAACATTGTCTGTTTTCCTCTTAAAAAAGGGGAAAATTTACAGTATACTTCCATAAACATTGTTACAAACTGTTTTTGCACCAAAGGAAATTGAAGAGAAGTGTTGAAATGAATTTATATGCCACAAATATACTTAGATAAAAAAAAACTTGATCAAAATGATGTTTTCACAGTAATGAACGATTCTTTTTGGCAATAAAAAATGGCATCATGGTATATTCGTGTTAGTTAAGCATGTCCTTACTCATTCTGTAGAGGTTATTTCAGTCTTTAAGGAAGTCTCTCCAGGCTTTGCTCATGTACAGACGGATTCCAGAGTGATTTCATCATAGCTCTGGCTCTATGGTTGCAGTTGTTTTCCAGCTTGAAGGTGAACCTCAATCCCAGTCTTTAGGTTTTTGCAGCCTTAGATTGGTTTTTACATCCATCCATTTACCTCCATCCATCCCCACCACTACTGGTCTCCATGGAAATGGTTGGATCAGTTATATGCAGCATTAGTTTCGGTCCGGTTTACAAGTAAAGGACTGCATGTGCAGAGTGCAGATAGCATTTTCTTGATTTTCATGCAATAACATGTATTCACACAGTTAATCAACAACCGTAGTAATTTAGATTATTGGATTAAAAATAACTGAAAGACAAAATATCTGAACTCACATTATCTATGGCTACGTTAACACTGCAGCCTGAAGTGACCCAATTCCGATTTTTTTGCCCATATGTGACCTGTATCAGATCTTTTTATGACAGTCTGAATGACACAGATCGGATTTTTTCAAATGCGACCCAGGCCACTTGGATATGTGGTCCTGAATCCGATACGTATCTGATCTTTTCAAATGCGACCTGTGTCTGTACGGCCAGGTCGCATTCATCCGACCTACACGTCATTGATACTTGACAAATGTTACTAAACGTTACTAATCTGCGTCCTACTAAGCGGAGGCGGGAAAAACTAACAACCATGGCGGAAGATAACACAGAGAGCAGTCAATGGAGAGAAAGTGAGGTTGCTGACTTAATTCATATTTGGAAAGATAGCTCGATTCAGACCAAACTCGAAGGGTCTTACTGGAACCGGGGGAGGGTCTTTCTTTTTGATCTTCTTAAAAAGATTTCGTTCGTAATCTGCCTGCTCCTGTTGGAGAAGAACTTAAAGAATGCAATATACGCTGCGGTATTACGAGTCATGTTTACTTCCGCAAACACTGAGGACGCTTGCTACATGTGACGTCATCGCGTCCTCGAGTGCGCATGCGGGACACTTCGGTTGAACGCTTTCAGTTCACACAGTAGATCACATACAAGTCGCATATACTTGGAAGTGTGAACGGACAT